AAATGGAAATGAAATAATATATATATTGAATTTATAAATGTGTGTATATATGTATATATGTATATGTATATGTGTGTGTGGTTGTACATACACACATGTAGTTGTTTTTTTGTTGTTGTTTGGCTTAGTGTTATGTTAGAATCATTATTATACTCATACCTTTTGTTCTTTAATATTTTGAATTGTTTTTAGCTTTATTTTTAGTTTTTCATTTAAATGTTAAGTTTTGAAATTTTGTTGTATGCATTTGTCATTTTTATTTAATCTCTTTATTTTTAAAATGTGTATAGGTAGTATTTATAAAGTTTTAGCTTTTAGTTTTGGATCTGTTTTTAATTGTTTTAATACTACAATTGATTGCTTCTGTTGTCCTCATTTGTAAGTCGCTTTGGATAAAAGCGTCTGATAAATGACTAAATAAATAAATAAATGTCTTATGTGGGCTTTTCCTCCTGAGTGTTTGTTCTCTGGTAGTTTCTTTGAGGACGCCTGTTGTTGACTTCCTTTTGGGCCTTTTAAAAGAAGCGAGATGAATGACCACGAGAGAGAGCTGAATTTGTTTGGTTTCCTTTAAGCTTGTTTTCTTGTACATCAACACTGCTGCACACATTACACTTCCATGCATTCATTTAACTTTACATCACTGATTCCTGACCGTTACATTCTACATTGTTTTTTTTGTTGTTAGTTTGATTTTGTTAATAAATTTTGTATTCTATTTCTGGCTCTCTCGTGTGTCCCTGTTTTTGTTACGTCTCTTTTGAGCCACGGGGCGTAACAAATGGGGGCTTGTCGAAAGTAGGATCCAATCAACGCGAGGATGATTTGGTTTCATCGTATTTTGTCGTTTTTGATTATTTTGAACATGTTTGGAAACAACTGTTTGGTGACGACGTTTTGAGGGAAATACAGTTTGAATAATTTGAAGTCACAATAAGACATCCTGCAGTGAAAGACTCTCAAGACGTGTTTTTGTCTTTTGCAGAATTACATATTGTCACCTCAAACAATAAAACAATAACGATATTAGTAGATGATAAATATTGCGCACTCCTAGCTCATCATACACCCTTACAAATCAAATTTGGACATGTGGACATGTTTAAAATCACAAGCTGACACACAAGCATCAGTTACAACGCAGCTATCAGCACTTAGGTCCTGCTCGAGATTCTGCTGCTGCTTGATCCATTACACGTGTGTGTTAGTGTCCCAAGGCATGACATGTAACAATGTAAATGAGCAAAAACAAAAAAATATGCAATTTGTTGCAGTTTAAAATAAAATATTGTAGTGAATTTTCACACCTGCCATTGCTAACTCTGCAAAAGCCCTGTGTTTTAACTTTTTGTGATGCTGTGTGTCTCTGTCTTCAGTCTCTGTTGATTGTGTGACTGTGACGTCTCTGCAGCGGCTCTTATTCACCATCAGCTGATCCTGAGAGAACTGGACTGACGTCTAAATACTGAGAGTCCTACAATAAAACACACAGACAGTCGCATATGAGTATGAGACATTACTGCTGTCACATCACATCAGCAGATCCATTTCAGAAAAAACACAGTATATTCATATTACAGCCAGAGATATGAGTGAACTACTGATCATAGATTAATAACAGTGAATGATCAACAACTCTCTCTTTATCATTTACACACACTGGAAGAGATGAAAATATTCATATATTCATAGATCATCACAGAATTAAACACAGTTTAAAGTACAGAGACTACAGTGAAGCTGAATTATTTTCTTATATTCTCCAATTACACACATATGAGGCCTGTTACTAAACTTTGGCCATTTTAAAAGATTTAAATAATAATATACTCACAATAGTATAATGTCTCCAGTTTATAATGTGGATCATCTTTCAGATCAGAGATTAATCTCACTCCTGAATCTCCTAGATTACTCCCAGACAGACTCAGGTGTCTCAGGTGTGAGGGGTTTGATCTCAGAGCTGAAGCCAGAGCAGCACAATCTTCATCTGTGACGCCACAATAACTCAACCTGTAGAGAACAATGACACACTCTTCACTCTCTCAGATCAGATCAGTTTAGCTGTGAATCCATTAGTAAAGAGAAAGTACAAATCAATGCGTGATGCATCATTGGACTGAGATTTAAAATGTGAAAGAAAGCAAACAAAAAAGAAAACATGATCATAAATCATTTAAAGCCTTATTAAAAAAAAAAAATGTATTGCACTGTTAGGATTTTTAATCAAATTTTCTGTCTTATGTAGACAGTCATTCAAATCTGTTAAATCACACTATTCATTACACAGCTGATCTTTATAGTGCTATTTTGATCTGTATTAATATGTATGGAGTACTGGTGTGTGTGTGTGTGTTTCTCCTCCATCATACAAGGATAGCAAAACCTGAGATCACCTACACTGTGAGATATTATTTATACTTAGTGTAAATTGTGGCAGATAGTACTTACACCTCAGTGTATTGCAGTGCTTTACAAAACAGTACATAATAACATATTCTTTATATGATTCTATTCATTATAAACAGATGCTGCCTTCTAGTGTCCTTACTTGTGTCTATTCCTAAAGCCCCCCTACACCTGGCCTATTTATACTATAGTCTCACCGGTAGGGACGTGATGGCTGTCGCCGGCCAACGAGTTGGTGTTTTTTCAATGTATGCTTCAGACACGGGTCACAACGAGGCATTCCCCATAGCGACCCCTAGAGGATGCAGTTCGAAGTTCCCATCAAAGGGAATGGTCTTTTCTTCACTTAATTTTACTGCGGATTAATTTACAAACAAGGCACAATTTGATGTGGGATTGTCAAAAGATTGAAACTAAAAGATGATGTTGTGCCGACTATATTGGATCCGATGTGGCACCACACAAGTGTGAGTAACTGTATTTATTACGTGATCACTATTGCTTTGTCTCTTCTTACAGATCGTTTGATATGTATTGAGTTATTTATGTGTTTTTGACCTAAAATCACAGCAGCGTCCATCTGTGAAGGATGAAGACTGTAAAACACACAACTATTAGCCAATCACAGCAGTGTGTGTTTACTGGAGTCTACAATCCTCCACAGATTCAAACAGAGCATTCTGATGAGGGGGTCAAAAACAGGACAGAAAATAGCTTATTACTTCTAAATGATGATGTTTTTTTACGTAAACATTTTGACAACATTATAAGTGGACCTCAGAGAACAGTATAAAATAAAAAACAGAGGTAGTTCATGAACCCTTTAAAAATTACAAATCATTCTGGACAACATCTGCAGCACTTCAGATTTATGAGCTTTAACTTTGATTTTCTTCATGCTTTAACAGTGAAGTGGTTGTTCTCAGTGATACTTACTGAACTGATCTGGATTCTTTAATCACAGGAAGCAGCTTCTGAAGAACTTCCATATTTTCATGATTATTCATTCCTTTAACAAATATATCAAGACGAAACTCATTCAGTTCCTCTTCTGATGTCAACAACACAAAAACTACAGCTAACCACTGAGATGAAGAGAGTTTGGCTTCCTTTATTCTTCCAGATTCCAGATACTGTTGTATTTCCTCCACTAGTGAATGATCACCCAGTTCATTCAGACAGTGGAACAGATTGATGGATTTCTCTGGAGAGTCAATGGTCCTGATCTTCTTCTTTATGTACTCAACTGTTTTCTCATTGCTGTCAGAGCTGCTTCTTTTCAGTGTCATTATTTGTTGTTGAAGAATCTGATGAGACTTTACTGACAAACCCAGAAGGAACCGCAGGAAAAGATCCAGATGTCCATTTCTACTCTGTAGAGCCTCATCCACAGCTCTCTGATGCAGCTCAGATAATGAAACATGTTTTAAAAAAAGTTGAAACCAGTCCTGAACTTTAGACTGGGCATTTTGTTTGGTGACTGGCTCAAGCACATTTATGTTGTTGTTTGTCCAGGAGAGGTGCACATATAGAGCTGCTAGATGCTCCTGAATGCTCAGATGAACAAATAAAGTCCAGAGGCAGACGACACTCATCCAGACCATCAAAGATGAACAACACTTTATATTCATCACTGGATATCTCCATTTCTTTAGTTTCAGGGAAAAAGACATGAAGAAGATCTGAAAGACTGAGTGTTTTGTCCTTCATCAGGTTGATTTCTCTGAAAGGAAGTGGAAATATGAGCTGGACGTCCTGATTCTCTTTCCCTTCAGCCCAGTCCAGGATGAACTTCTGCACAGAGACTGTTTTTCCAATGCCAGCGACTCCCTTTGTCAGCACAGTTCTGATGGCTTTGTCTTGTCCAGGTAAAGCTCTAAAGATGTCACTGCATTTGATGGCTGTGTCCTCTGTTGCTGCTCTCCTGGATTGTGTCTCAATCTGTCTCACCTCATGCTCAATACTGATCTCTCCACTCTCACTCTCTGTGATGTAGAGCTCTGTGTAGATCTCATTCAGGAGTGTTGGGTTTCCCTGTGTCACTGTTCCCTCATACAGATGCACAAATTTCTTCATCAGATTTGATCTAAACCTGTTGAGGGCTTCATGCCTGTAAAATTAAGATACTGCATTATTAAAACAGCCAAGCTAATGCATTCTGTATCATAATCAGAAATATTAGACCTGAGATCAGTCTTTGTATCTTCATTCTTATAATCTAATGGCTGATTCATAGACCAATCACTCCTCATAGACACACAGCTGGACTCTGCTTCTGATCTCTTCTGCTGAACTGAACTATAACTAATGCTGTTTCATGCATGTTGAGTTATTTACACTGTTAAAGAGTTTGATTCTCATGCTACACTTGGCCAAAGTTTTAAGAACGATTTGAACATATAACAGAGTATTTCTGTGACAAATATACACTTCCAGGTTTCTTACAAGTTTCTGAAAGTTTTTTTCGATCGTGGCTCTTCATGACGTCATGAAAGGTGGAACTTCTTGTAAGGGCATTTCTCCTGGAAGAGCACACCCGCATCGACCAGAGCAAGATCAAGAGTGCGCCCGTCAACGTGCTTCGCAAGACTCGCTCGGGAAGAATGTCTCTACAGAAGTGTGTTTCTGGTTGTAAGCAGTCGTGGAAATGGCCGATATAAACAGTAGCTAATTTTTTTTTTTTATTTAAACTCAAAATGTCACTGCAGTTTCCAGTTAAAATGAACACTAAAGGCAGTAAAACCAACATTTTTTATTAATGTCCACATTAATTATTATTACATGGGCAGATTATCAATTATTTAAAACACATTTTTGTGAAGTTCCTTGCACAAATAAAATGTTATGATCACAAAACACTTTCACTGTAGTGTATGTGATGTAAACTAAAATATTTTGAAGTTTGCATCACATAACCAGCTGCATATGTATGACTTTTCTAATGTAGTAAACTTGCTCGGTAGCTTACCTGGTACGGCACTGTAGGCTACTTGTAAAGTGGAGCATTTGGGTATGAGATGAAATTATAATTTAAATAATAATAATATACATTTAATCAGGATACACGCTATACTTGTAAATGGGCGTTAATGTATAAGCATGGTGTAGTTATAGTCAGTAGTGGAAATGGCTAGAATTCACTGGGGGGATTCTAGCTTGGAAAGGGGGCAGGGGGGTAATAATGGTAATTTTAGATGACCTTTCAGATGCATTTAAATATAAAACCCTTTATAATCTAAAATAACATTAAACTTATTTCATATTTTCTCTAAAGACAGGTACCCTGCAATTCCTGCCAAATTAAAGTTATGTTGTGTGTGAATTTGTACGTTATAATGTAAGCATCATTAATGACCCTTTGTGTTTAATTATACAAAAAAAAACAAAAAAAAGATTTATTCGTGAAATGAAAGAATGATTTCATGTAAAATGAAAATGATTAGTAACTGTCTCTAATTGGCCTGATTAGCTAAGCCCTCAAAACGTCTCGTTACGTATTGTAACCCTCGTTCCCTGAGGGAGGGAATCTCGCCAGAGAGACCAAGCTACTTCGAGTGTAAACTAAACGAGCCAATGCACATTGGCGTGTGATTATTGCATCCAGCTGCCGCTGATCACAGCGTGAGTATAAGTAGGCAGCCGGTGCAGCGCATAATCAGGTTTTCGTGGAGGAGCCGAGCCAATGTCCCAGCCGCTCAGGGGTGGTACAGCAGCCGTGGCGACGGGACGTGACATCTCCGTTCCCTCCCTCAGGGAATGAGGGTCACAATACGTAACCGAGACGTTCCCTTTCAGTCGGTCACTCTCGACGTCACGTCGGTGACTGACGTACTGGGAATCCCTACCATAGCGCCATGGATGCTGCCCCTTCCAGTGTCCTGTGCAAGCCGCCCGGGCCCCTTTTTGGTGTAAGCCGGGGCTCGCAACAAGAAGGCCAGTCACTTTTGTCGTAGCACTACCCACTCAGTGAGATCAGATAACACTGGGAAAACGTACCAGTTCCACTTGGAACAGGAGAACAGGAGAACACAGGAGGATACCGGCTCCACACGAAGGCTATAGAATCTAGCGAACGTGTTGGAGGTCGCCCAGCCCGCAGCTCTACAAACATCTCCCAGCGAGGCGCCATGAGCCAGCGCCCAGGAGGATGCAACACTTCTAGTAGAGTGAGCTCGCAATCTGAATGGGCAGGGCACACCCTGTGCCTGATAAACCAGGGTGATGGCATCCACTATCCAGTGGGTCATCCTCTGCTTAGAGACGGCATTCCCCTTCTGCCGGCCTCCGTGACAGACAAAGAGCTGGTCTGAGGTCCTGAAGCTTTGTGTCCTGTCTACGTAGCATCTCAATGCTCGGACGGGACAAAGCAAAGCTAGGGCCTGGTCTGCCTCCTCCGGGGGCAGCGCTTGCAGGCTCACCACCTGATCCCTGAAGGGAGTAGTGGGAACCTTGGGCACATATCCGGGCCGGGGCCTCAGGATTACCTGGGAGTCAGCTGGCCCAAACTCTAGGCACGAATCGTCGACCGAAAATGCATGTAGGTTCCCTACCCTCTTGATGGAAGCCAGTGCAACCAGGAGCAGAGTCTTCACTGAAAGAAACTTCATCTCAGCTGACTGCAGTCTCAAATGGGACCCGCTGCAGTGCTTCAAGCACCAGAGACAGGTCCCAAGAAGGTATAGAGGGAGGCCGAGGAGGGTTCAACCTTCTGGCCCCCCTAAGGAACCTGATGACCAGGTCGTGCTTCCCCATCGTTCTCCCCTCTATGGGGTCATGGTTAGCTGAAATAGCAGCGACGTAACCTTTAAGGGTGGAGGGAGACAGCCTTCGCTCCAACCCTTACTGCAAGAAGGAGAGCACAACTCAGATCGGACATCTTCGGGGGTCCTCTCGACGAGAGGAGCGGTGTTATCGTTCTGCTCCTGCCAAGCTTCGTGTGTCGACGAATCAGCGCTCTCAAAGGAGTTTCTCTGTGCGGGTGTCACGGCACGACAGCGGGTTGGTCGACCTTCGCTGAGTGGGTGCAAACTACAGGCTGCACTACCCCCTGTGTAGTGTTGCGGCGGCCATCTCCCTTGTGTGCTTCAGCACAACTAAAAGAGCAATTCTAAAAGAGCATTCATGGGTGAACACCTTTTTAAAGACGCGTCTTTTTAAAGATGCCATTTCACCCGTGCGTTTCTGGATGCGGTCATTACCTGGCGCCCGGTGATGGTCACCATCGCTGCGTCACGTGCCTGGGCATTAAGCATGCTGAAGTAGCTTTCGTGGATGAGTCATGTTCCCATTGCGGAAAGATGACCATCTCGGAGTTGCAGACCAGGCTCCACTACCTCGAAAGGGGTGGAGTTCCGTTGCCTCTGCCATGATCTAGTTCTCTTCCTGGCAGAAGTCAGGGGAGGACTACTTCTGACAGTAGCACGGGCGGTTTGAGGATCACAGTGGTGGCAACCCCTCCGAGGAACCAACCTCCCAGGGACCGCCACTCCTCTTGCACTTCGCAGCCAGCTGAGCTCCCTAAGGAACATGATGGGCCCTCCACAAAGAGCATACCAGCCGTATCCTTTGGGGCTCCTCCCGACGATCGGATGTCGATCGCTGTATTGGAGGGCGAGCCTGAGCTCTCTGGAGAGGAAGATTCGGCTGCGCTGCCGCCCTCCAGGATGGTAGCAAGGCCCGAGTCGGATCTGGAGATGACTGCTATGCTTTCCCGGGCTGCCGAGAGCGTAGGGCTCGAGTGGAAACCTCCACCACGTCCCGAGCCCTCGAGGTTGGATGATTATGTCATAAGAATATTGATATATAATTTATTTTATATATAAAGCCATTTCTCCTGCAGTTGTACCTTCACTCACTCATATCATTAACACATCCCTTCACACTGGTAGGGCTGAAATGATTAATCGACATTATCGACAATAAAATACTTAATTCAAGAGAAGACCGCGCTAGAGCAAATGCAGCCGAACCTGAAACTGCTGAGCGGCGTTTGGGTGAATATGTAAATATATGCTGCACGCTTTCCTCTCATTAACGGAAAAACTACTTGAAAGCAGCAGTTAAAAACGCATCTGATTACAGCGATGTGGAT